GATCATCAACATCAGATATTGGGAATTCGTTCAAAACCAAAGATGGCAGGGCACTTGAATCTCCCATCATCAACAGCTAACCCTAGGCAGTGGCGCTTCCTAGATCTAGTCTCCGCCACCTTCTCCGCCGCCATACTTCTCTTTTTCCTCCTCGTCTTCTCCCCCATCGGTGACTTTCTCACTGCGTCGGGGACTCAGGCTCTTTTCCACTCTTCTTTCGATCCCAAATAGCACCTTGAAGTCCTAGCTGCCGGAGAGAGAGAACTGGCCATCGGAAGCGAGAATGACGTCTCTGATGAAGTGAGAGTGGCTAGTGAGGCGGTGGCGAAGGAAGCCGTAGACTCTGTCTTCCTTGGTGAGGTGCCAGCCTATGAGGGAATGAAGTGAGGTTTGGGTTTAAAGAGAGAGAGAGAAATGAGTTGGATTTGAGAGAGTTAAATTTCTCTGTGATATATGGGAAGGGACCTTAAACATCATAAAAAAATATTGTGGATCTCTTCCATTACCAAAAATGGAAGAGAGACCTTAGACTATTTTTTCCTAAAAATATATATACAAATTAAAAACTCTAAAACCATTATTGTTTTTAATTTTATGTGTATATGTGTTTTGCGTGGATTAAAACTAAATAAATAAATATGTATATTAATGTAATGTATTGTCATATTAATTATTTAATTACTTCACTTAAGTGAGGCAATCAGTCTTCTTAGTTTTTAAGTAGGAGTGCTAGAGACCTCGACAAATCGAGACTTGAATGCCTCGAATTGTTTTTTTTTTTTTTTTTTTTGTGTGGAAGGGTGGTTAGTTATGTGTAGTGATACGCTAAAAAATTAGACATTCCGCACCAACTTAACCTTTGTGTTTTAATAAGGTGAGTGAGTTTGGTTGGGTTTGTTGGGTGATAAAATTAATTGGTCAATTAGGTAGCTGGTTAAAATTTGTTAATTCCATATAATTTTGTACGAGTCTCTACTATAGTTTTGTACACAATACCAAAGCCATTTCAATTTCCTCCAAGTCTTCCTGATTTGAAATAAAAATATAGTAAGAACTCATACAAAACTATATAAAATTAACAATTTTAATCAACAACCTAATTAATCAGTCAATTTTATCACTCAACTAATCCAACCTAACTCACTCATCTTATTAAACCACATAGGTTGAGTTGATGCGAGATGTCAATTTTTTTGGTACACCTCTACACATAGTCACTCTTCAAAAAAAAAAAAAAAAAAAAAACAACCAAACCAACCCAACCTAACAAATAAACAAAAAAAATAATAACCAAACCAACACAGCCCAACAAATAAAATAAAAAAATAATAATAATAATTGGAGGCATTCAAACCTCAATTTGTCGAGGCGCCAAGCATTAGGCACCTTTAAAATATTAGACTATTTCAACACATTTAACCCTTTTTATACCCAAGAAGAAAGAAAGGGATTTTTTTTGGTCTCACAGTGTTTTTTGTCTCGTGTTTTGTTTTTTTAAAAAAAATGCCACGATTTTTACATTATTTTTATTTTTATGTGAAATTTTTTTTGTTATTTTTAAATAAGTGGTTGTTTAAAAAAAATATCAAAAATAGTTTTCAAAAATAATTCATCAAATAATTTTTTAAAATTAAAAATAATAAGTGAAAACACAACGAATAAAAAGAACCATGTTGATGATATAAAAGTATTTCTTGGTTCCTTGTTTTTCTTCTCATATTTTATTTAGAAAAAATATTATTTTTCTTTCATACTTTAAAATGCTATACATAAATAGTGTTATCATATTTTATTATATTAGATATAAAAATGATAAGTTTTACTTGTAGTTAATTGTAAATTTTGTTGGGCGAAATAGTACATAGTGGGTAAGATTTTGGTGATAGAATGAGGCTGGAGAATGTATCTTAAATTTTGTGTTGTTTCTGACTTAGTGGTGGCCAATACTATGTATAAGAAGAGAGAATAATATTTGATAACCTTTAAGAGTAGGTCAATTAGGAGCCAAATAGATTATTTTCTAGTAAGAAAATGGGACCATTTAAAATGCAACGACTGTAAGGTGATTCCTTGATAAAGCTTAACGTTCTAACATAAGATTTTAGTACTAGATTTATGCTTTAAAGGGCAATACCAACCTTGAAAAGATAGTAGGCGTCACATACGTAAAAAGGGATAAACTGGGCACATTTAAGAATATAATTGATAAAGAAGGTACTTGGGACATGGAGATAATGATAACACTATGTGGAATTCGATAGCCAATTGTATGAGGAGAATCTCAAAGGAAGTTCTTAGAGAGTCGAAAAGAAAATGATCCAACTTTAGAAAAACTTGGTGTTAGAGGGAGGAGGTCCAAGCGGTAATAAAGACTAAAAAAGAAAGCTTTAAAAAGAGGCAGAATAATAGAACTGAGAAAAATCTTAAGCGCTACAGATTGGCAAATAAGAAGGTCAAAAAAGTAGTAAGAGAGACTAAGTTGAAAGCCTATGATGACTTATATACTAGACTTGATAATAAGAAAAGAGAGAAGAGAATAAGATAACAGAGAGGAAAATAAGAGATTTTAATCAAGTTAAGTACATTAAGGGTGAGGACTCTAAAGTATTGGTGAATGATGAAAAGCTTAAGGAGAGGTGAAAGAACTATTTTGAGAAGTTGTTAAATAAAGAATATGAAAATAGGTCAAGAAGGGGACTGTTTGGTTGACTAGGTTATTTAGTAAGATTTTGTTGATTAGGAAAATGCCAAAGAAGTGGAGGAAGAGTATTTTAGTGTCAATATATAAGAATAAATGAGATATTCAGAATTGCAACAATTATAGAGGAATTAAGTTAATGTGTCACACAATAAAAGTGTAGGAGAGAGTGATGAAACGTTGATTGCAAGATATAATAGATGTGTTAGAGAATTAATTTGAATTTATGCTTGGTACGTCAACAATGGAAGCAATCTATTTTTTAAGCAGAGTAATAAAAAAGTATAGAGGAAAGAAAGAAGACATTCATATGATTTTTATCGATCTTAAAAAAACATCTAAAATGACAATTTTAGCCTTATAACAAAATAATACTTGGTTGGTTTTACTTTTCTCATAATCTCTCTACTTTCGAAGAATTTGAAAATAGAAGTTATGAAAGAAATATGTTTCTAGCTATTTGTTCTTATTTCTCTCCACTCTCTCCTATCCAAATAAGTAATTAAAATCCATTTATCTCTATTGCATTTATTTTTTCTCCAAATCACGCAAACCAAACAAGTGTTAATGAATTCATATCACCAATAAGAAATACTTTGGTATATTATTTCTACAACAAATCAATTTATAAAATAAAAAAAATGGATAAATTATACTAATTTCTCTTAAAGTTTTTAAAAAATATAATAAATCTCACATATTTGATATAATTATATTTAATTTCTTTAAGATTTTAATTCATATAAATTCAGTCCATTTTTATCATAAATTCATTTCTGTATGAATGAAAATATAATGTTGTCATCTCTTTTACATTAAAATACATATTTTACCTGTATTTATAATATTTGTATTAATTTTAATCTCTTTAACTTTATATTAAAATTATAAAATTTATTATTATTTTTTTAGCATGAAGAAAGTCGGTGTAATTTATCAACAAAAAAAAAAAAAACAAAGTTTATATACTGTAATATTTTTTCTTACAATTTAAGGCCTTATTTGTCATAACTTAAAAAAGTTAAAAAGTCAAAAAATTACTATCTTATTTAAATCACATCATCTTATTTAAGTCACATTACATTTTTATCACATCACTTCAAGGCCCCGTTTGTTTTGGGGTATGAGAGAGGGATTGGGATTAGGATAGTTATGAGCCCCATTTAATGTGTTGTTTGTTTACAGAGTTGAGGATGGGAATGCTAAGCTGAAGGGTTTAGGATAGGCCTTGAAGATGGGATTCAGATGGGCCTCCAGGACTTAGTATTATAAAAAGAATAATGCTTGGGACCCCCTTTTGGGGGTCACCCCCTCACCCCCCCTTTGCCACGTGGCGGGTGGTGATTGGAGGAGCAGAAAAAAAAAGAAAAAGAAAAAGAAAAAAAATGTAACCAATGAGAGAGAGAGGGGGTCAAAGGGGTGGAAGGAAAAGGGATGAATCATTGTTGTTATAAAAATAATCCGGCGGACTAGAAATTTTTTATTTTTATTTATTTTTTATTTTATTGTTTATATGTCGGGCATTTTTTTTTGAACATTAATGTTTAATTTTTTATATTTTTTGTTAAGTAAAAATCACTATTATATTTATTTATTTTTTTCTAAAAATTTTTTGTTTTATTTTTATTTTTTAAATTTTTTTTACATTTAATATTTATGTTTTTGTATTTTTTTATATTTATTTTATATAAAAATAATTTAACAATCCCTACAGTAACAATTATCATCAAAACAAACACAATTTTACTTAATCTCCTCACTATCAATTCCCTCTATTTTACCTCTAAAAATAAACAAAATCCAAACTCAATCCATACTCAATCCATATTTTATAAAAAATAAAAAAATATACTTATTTACATCCTCTCAAATCATTCATAAAATTTTCCTCTCCAAAATTCTGCTGGCTGGGCAACCATGACCCAGTACTCTCTCTCTCTCTCTCTCTCTCTCTCTCTCTCTCTCTCCAGAAGACTTTTCGCCCCTTCTCATTTCTTGACTGCCAACACCTGCCCCCGAATTTCTGTTGTCTTAATCATCTACATACACTAGATTTAGTTGTATCAATATATATATTTACATTTTTCTCTGCGGGCTCTTTAAATTTGGTTGGTAAATTGGCCTCCAGCTGCCGTGAACAGACGTCTCTTTAAGGTCATGTAGTTCTTGCCTCCCCCTCTTGCTTGTTGGTGTCTTTTTGCTTACTGGGTTTCTTCTTGTAATCTTCAAGAATTGGGGATTTGTGTTTTGGGGTCACTGACACACCAATTTCTGCTGTCAGATCGAGAAACTTGAGGTGGGTTTTGTCAAATTTGGAGTTTTTATAAATGGGTTTGACACGAGATGTGTGTGTGTGTATATATATATTATATAAATCTAGAGTTGGATTTGTCTGTGCTTTTGATTATAAAGGTGATGTGGAGCTTAGCAAGTTGTTTGTGAATTCTTGATGTGATGAGTGAAAATGGGGTTTCTAGTGTTTGAAGTAGTCTTCAAAGTTGGATTTTGTTCTGCAATTAAGACTTTGCATATTTGTTTGTTGAAAGATCATACTTTACTTCGTGCTTCTCTCATTAGAATTGTTTTATGGAAAATGTCAGGCTTATGTAATTTTTATACAGACTTCATAATAAGAATGATGTGGCAATGGAATTTGGGGAAGAAATTATGAGGACAATGGTGACTGTTTTCATTGTAAATGAAGGGATCACAAGATGCCGCATCATTCTGTATGAAAATATATTGTACATAAATTTTGTTTGTATATCATTACTTTGTTTTGATCATATTAAGGATTCCCAATTTTATTTGGACATTAAAAATTTTCCTAGTGTATGGATCTTCTTAATTTTCCATAACATCGTATGTCTTGCTATTTGCATGGATTTAATGATATGAGGCTCTTATTTTCTACATCTGGATTTGTAGTAAGGGGTTATGTAATTTATTGGCGGCTATGAAGTGTTTCATGTTCTACACTGGAGAAAAGAAGGAAGAACCCAAGACCACAAAGTCCAGTGATGTGAGGAGATCTGGGTCTGAATTCAATTCTCAGAATGTATCAGACTCCAGCGCAGAGTCCATTGGGAGGAGCCCATTACCAAGTTTGTCTCAGAGGCCTAGCAATCTCAGAGTATTCACGTTTTCTGAGCTTAAGACAGCCACAAATAATTTTAATCGCACCTTAAAAATTGGAGAGGGTGGCTTTGGATGCGTGTATAAGGGTGTCATCAAGAGTTCTGAAGATCCACAAAAAACACTTGATGTCGCTGTGAAACAATTAGGGAGAAGAGGAACGCAGGCAAGGTTTTTATGCTTCTTTTTTGCTAGCTTAGCTATTATACAATTGGAGATCTTTCTTGCTTTTGTGACAATTTGATGCCGGATGGCTGACAAAAACGTAAAACCAAAAGAAAATAAATGTAAAACAAAAGAAAGGCCATGCCAAAAGAGAAAGAAAAAAAAAAACCCTAAAAATTCTTTGATCTCAATATCAAAGCTCACTCAATTCTATTTCATATTATGCATAAACCTTATACATAGTGGCCTATTTATAGGCATCCAAGAAAACCCTAATTTAAAAGTTGCCAAAAATAAAACAATAGAATTTTTAAATCCTACGTAAAATTCTAATATTGATATAATTTCTAAAAGAGGGTTGCTATTTGCCCCTTACTTTTCTTCTTTGGACTCCTATCTCCTTCATTTTTTCTTTATTACAATTTTACCCTAACATAGAACTTCATCTTTACCCCATCCCTAACCCTAACCCTAACCCTAATCCTAACCCAGCCCCTACAGTGGTGGGAGTCATGAGTTTGAGGGGCAGCGGGGCTGGGGGACAGTGGGACGGGGTTGCAGTTGGGAGGGGGGTTGGATGGTCGGAGAGGGGGGATGTCGAAGGTGGCACTACGGTAGCTGGAGGAGAAGGTAGTGGCTAGGGTTAGGGTTTAGAGAATGAAGGTAATATTGGGAATAAGATGGGGGTCCAAAGAAAAGAAAATTCAAAATTTAGAGGTCGGGGTCCAAAGAAATTTGGTGGGTCAAATAGCAACACTCTTCCTAAAAATCTAAATTTCCAAAGTTCTTCAATTCTTTCCTCAACCAAAACCTTTTTGGTCATCATCACAATTCCTTTCAAGAGAATATAGAACAAGAATAATCGATGAAGCATAGATACGAAATTAGGATACAAATACAATTTGATACAAATAAATATTGATATAGAAAATTCTAAAAAAAGTAAGATACAGATATGTTAAGGTTACAACAATATATGTGTATATAACTATATATCATGTATGTATTTGTATATTACAAAAAATTAATTTTGTTAGAATATATTTGTAACAAACTATTTGTCTTTAATTATATATAAAATATTTTCAATTTCAAATTTATATTGTAGTCATATGAAAAAGTATTAAGGTTATGTTATGTGGACACATATTTGGACCAAATTTAACATGTTTTAACTTTAGTATTTCCCCTTTTTCTTCTTTGAGGAGTAAGCAAAATATGAAAGTCATTCCTTATTTTATTTTAATAGTAATTATTATACTCTAATGGTACACTAAAAATATCACATCTTTATTTTAAGATAGGTTGGACTTTTAGATAGAAAGTATCCAATACTATGCAAAATAAAAGAAAATTATTTTCTAATTTTGGATACATTTAGGAAGTTTTAGATATTCAAGGAGTCACGGTATCTAATATGGATATGATACGGGATATATCTCCCATATAGAACTGCCTATGCTTCATAGGAAATAATCAGTGGTATTAATTAGCATAGGGGATAATTGTTATTAGATAGGTTTAGGTGTGGGTGTTGGTTGCGTGTATGTGTAGGAGTTGGTTTTTTGAACATCCCGAATTTTAGGATTCAACAGTTTGACATTCCAAATCTCCAGCGTGACCTTAGAGGATTTAGTATCACTCCAACCAAGGAAACATGGAGAAGAAGATACATAATTACAAATTCTGCCTTGTATTTCCAAATTTCATTGTCATAAGGAAATACTTTGTCATGTTATTCTCCTTTATGAATCCCTATTATCTACCAAATTGCTTAATAATGTTGTCGGTATGTGAATGTGTGTGCTTTTGGGAACTGTGCAATTAAAGAGCGTGTAATATTGTGTCTTGCATAAATTATAAAGTGTATCAATACTAATGGTAAATATGGCATCCTAATGGTTCAGTGTTGAATTTAATGCTTGACCAAGCAAGGCATTTTCAGATTCAACTTGAAATTATTTGGTAAGGAAAGAAAAAGGAGAGTAACAAAAATCATAGCAACATAAATGAAAGAGGAGAGAGAGGATAGAGGGATATGATGCTATTAGTGCTACCTTCAACTTTGCAGTAATAGTTGGGACTTGTGATGTGAGGTAAATCAAAAAAATTCTCCTAGTCAAACTTCTCATCAATTGACAGACTCATCTTAGGTAATCCTCAAAAGTTATTCCAGCAAAGGTTGACAGCTACTTACATGGTAGTCAAATCAAACCTGTAGTGAATAATACATAAATGTAGTAACTGCCTAACCGTATGTTTCCAAGCATAATTAAAACAAGTAGTAAAATGTTAACAACTAAATTAAGTTAGATTCCTTGCAAAGGCTCAGAAATTGATAAAAAATGGGTTTAACTTAAACCTTAATGCTACTTCTGACATGTCATGTACAATGCCACAGAACATTCTATGTCACCGCAATTCTCTTAACTTTTCCCCTTCTCCTATGCTCTTATATTATCCACATATTTCTCTTGCAACCCTGTATGAGTTTGTTATGTTAGATAAGTTACTCCTTAACAGTTCAGGAGATGGGAAGTCTTGTTTTTTAAAATTGATTGTTTCCACTGTTTGTCTGGCAGGGGCACAAGGAATGGGTGACAGAAGTGAACGTTCTTGGGGTGGTTGAGCATCCAAACCTTGTCAAACTAGTGGGCTACTGTGCTGAAGATGATGAAAGAGGAATCCAACGGCTTCTGGTTTATGAATATATGCCTAACAGAAGCGTCGATGACCATTTATCAACTAGGATGGAGACACCTCTTCCCTGGTCCATGAGACTCAAAGTAGCCCAAGATGCTGCTCGTGGCTTAGCATATCTACATGAAGGAATGGAATTTCAGGTTTGTTTCCTTTTTTTTTTTTTGGGTGCTAGAATTTGATTAAATGATCACCTTTTACATTTTTTCTTTCTTGGATGTGAGTTACATTTTAAAAAGCTCAAGTGCTTTATAAAGTTTGACATTCTATCTTTTTCTCTAGCTAGAAGTAACTGTATGCATTATTGAGTTCATACTGATATTTTAGAACTGTAATGCATTATACATTATGTCATGACTCATGAGTGTACCATCTTATATCAAACTGATATTTTTTTATTACTTTTGTGTGTTAGATCATCTTCCGAGATTTTAAATCTTCAAACATTCTCCTAGATGAGCAATGGAATGCAAAGCTGTCAGACTTTGGCTTGGCTAGATTTGGGCCTCCAGATGGACGAACTCATGTCTCAACTGCGGTATGCTTAAGCAAAATGATGTTATTATAATATCTGATCCACTCCACTTATCAGAACTTTGTCCTAACTACTTGTGATGTCTTCAATTTGAAGTGCAAACTATTTTGAGTTTCTTTAGTAAAATGAAATCATTAGAAATGGGACTACAAACCACATCTCCATGTGTTTTACCAAGTTGGCTGAATAAAATTTCAGCTTGATTAATTCTGTTATCAAAACAGACTTTTTTTTCTTTTTTTCTGTATCTTTTATTCGATATTACCAAACTGTGCCCTGTGTCCCACTGAAGTGGGGTTGCCTACATGATCCTTTTTCCTCCGTTCTGCTCTGTCAAGGGCAATATGCTCAATATAAATTCATATTTGTTTTTTATTACCGCATCCCATATAAGTTTAGGTCTTCCTCTGCCCTTAACATTTCCATTTATAGTGATCATATCATTATTCCTTACTGTTGCATCTATAGGATTCACTTGATAGGCTATATTACTTGATGGAGAACTTTTGTTGGAGGCTTTTTAATCATTGATGTCAAATTTCCACATTTTCTTGTGCTTTTTCAATTATGCTTTGATGAGCTTCTGCCAAAATCACTACATACTTGGGCATTTGGACTACCATGGATTTGGTATCAATTATTCACTTCACTCTGATTTACTATTAATTTTGGTGTTGCTGCAAGATGAATCATCTGCTCTTCTTAACTCCTGTTTAAACTATGGGCCAGTGTTACCAGTAAATGCCAAACTCTAGCAATTTACGTTTTGAAACGTACATTCCAAAACATAGTACACTTTCGTTCCAAAAAGGTGAATTTGGCAATTCCATATTTTTTTTCTATGTTCTTCATTGAAAGTTATCTTTAATAGGAAAAAAGTCAAATACAATGAACTAAAATTTAGATAGAGTGGAGTTTTGGATTGACAAAATGTAAAACAATGGGTCATAATGCTCATAAAACTATGTTGTTGAACAATTAATTTGAAGAAAAATACACTATAATATATTGGATGTTACATTAAGAAGTCTATCTCTATTGTACCACATTTTAGAACATGTGGCGTACCACATTCGCATTCCAGTTCCTCATACCAGAATGATCCACATTCTAGGTAGCATAGCCATGGGCAATTGGGATTTCATGAATTGAATTCTCTCAATCTGTTTACAATGTCTTGTGAGGGAGGCTTCATTTACAATGTAGCTCCATTATAGTATATGAATTTTATCTACTAAACGCTATGGATTACCCAAAAAGGCTGATTCATTTTTTAAGGGATGTCCTAACATAATGGTAGAATTCATTTAATGAAGACAATTTTATAGACAATATGATAAGTCGTAAGAGTAAGATTTCATGTCTTACATTTTTGTGCTGAAAAAATGTTTCATGCATTCATTTCACTTTCTGTTTTAGTGTTAAATTTTTTCCCTCTTATAGTCATTTAGTAGTTCAATTTGAGAAATTTTTCAGGTTGTGGGAACCTTGGGATATGCTGCTCCTGAATACATTCAGACTGGACGTCTTACATTCAAAAATGACATATGGAGTTACGGGGTCTTCATTTTTGAACTTCTCACGGGTAGACGCCCATTGGACCGAAACAAGCCTAAGAATGAGCAGAAACTCTTGGAATGGGTAAGGCCATACGTATCAGACACAAAGAAGTTTAAGCAGATATTGGACCCTAGGCTTGAATGGAATGGCTCCCTCAAGTCAGCCCAAAATCTAGCTATTGTTGCCAACCGGTGCTTGATCAGAAATGCAAAGTCACGCCCGAAGATGAGTGAGGTGTTGGAGATGGTGAACCAGATCGTCGAAGCTTCACAAGAAATACGTACTTCTCGACAACCTGTAAGAAGCTCGATGCTAAGGGAAACCTCTGGGGACAAAGTGAAAGGTAAGGGAAGGATCATGGATATGACGACAAAAAAGCCTAGGTATGCAGAAAAGCTTAGGTACACAGACGCCAGCAACAGAAAAGTGCACAAAGCACTCACATGAGATGGGCTCACACAATGCAGATCCCGCACCCCTTTGACTGTTCTATGCATTTTTTTGTGATTGGTTTTTGTAGAAGTATTGTGTGAAATGGGGGAAAGTGGTTGGCTTCTATGATTGGTAGTTGGATAAGCTTGTGTGGGTTATGAAGGTAACAATTCCGATGAATTTGTATATAGTTCATAATGCGAAGTGTACAATATTGCTCGTGTATTGCAACTGCCACTACTATTGCTTCAGTAGGCACCAAAACAAAAGGTGATATGAGGATTGTAAGGTTGAGAATTCTAGTATTTAGACGGTTGTTCTAGGGAATTTTGACAGTAAAGCTTGCAAGGCACTGTTGATTGCACCACTGTTGATTTGAAAATGGCAGGTGGGTTTTCATGGCATGCGGAGAAGCCTCTTGAGATGCCATAGTAGAAATTCTGAATGATATATCGTACATTTATTCGAAATCATTATGTATTGTTCTTGTGCTGTGTTCTTTTAGTTGGGTTAAGTGTTATGCTTTTGGATAGATGTTCTAGCCTTCTAGGATGGAAGCAGAAGTTCAAGGTAGTCAATCAATATACTGTTGCTGAATTTGTATTTTGAAAATATTAATTTAATTTAAATGATAGATTTGTCTATCTACTAAAGTTATTTTGTGTTTTTGTTTTGTCTCTGAAAATACCAAAATTTGTTTGGAAAGGAATATAATATATATATATATATATATATTTGTTTGGAGATGGTTGTGTTTCCAAACTTCTCATCATTATTGTTTTTGAAAAATTCTAAAAATACAAACAAAAACACTGAAAACGAAATCATTGAAGGCTCTATCAATGTTTTTTGTTGCAACCCCAAAGCCAAATAAAAGGGTAAATCATGCCTCAAGCTTAAAGAAACCCAAGCTCATGAAAAAGCAATGGAAATATTTTTTTGTTTGGTTAAATGTAAACTTTTTACACACAAAATTTATACAAATTTTTATAAGAATGGCGTGGCAATATTATTTTTGTAAATAAATTTATTTTAGTATTTTGTTTTGAAGTGAAAATTTTGCATTGAGTCTTATCTCAAACTTAAGCAACTTAGTTTTCATAACTTGCTTTTAAATTGTGCTAGATACATTTTTCGTATTTTTTTTTTCTTACAATCAACAGAAAGGAAAAAAGGAAAGTTACATTATGCAACAGGTAATAATTGAATCATGATTAGTTTTTATAACTAATGACAATTCTAGTGGCAAGAAAGGGTGGGAAAACAATGGTAGTAATTTGGAGAAAAAAGAGAAAGAATAGGTAGTATGGAATCGCGAGGGGCGGGGGAAGTTGGGGTGATTATAACGGCTAAAGTGTCTGTTGCAGTGGTAAAATGATAAGGACATAGAATGTTAGGATGGTAGCAATAGTTAGAGTGACTATTGCAATAGCAACAAAGGCTGGTGATAACAGTAGAATAAGTTGCAGACAGTAAAGAAAGACAACTAAAAAGAATGAGAGGTGTACGACTACGAAATAATCTTCGTTCGTATAATCCTGTTGATCAAGCTTGCGTTCTTCCAAATGTCATCGTAACACCTGAAATCACAAATGTGAGCTGGTCTGCGGGTGTGTGCCGGAAGCCCCTCCGATGCCTAAATCAGCAAGTAGACTAGGAAAACAAAGCTTTGTGAATTTGAGGATAATAATTGCAATACTTAAGATTAGGGTTTGATTTGAAATTTTGTAAGTTTCGCGTGGCACAATCCTAGTAGGATTCTAACTTTCATTTGTAGTGTTCACCTAGGAATTACACTCTTAAAGAATAATGCTTATCTTTTAACACCCTCCTCACGGCAATCCAAGTGAAATGACACAACTCTTTGCACGGCCTCCCGCCGAGCAACCGAGCTGTTTGACTCTATCCGTTGTTGTCTTAGCCACGCAACACGCGACACCATGTACAATCTGCTCGCTGTGCTACCTTGCTGATGTTGTACAGCTTTTTCCAAAGCTCCGCCAAAGCTCCATTCTCAGCTTCGTTTGACTGCCTTCCATATAACTCGGTCAAAGAATTGACCGCCCCTATGAAGTAACTTGGTCCAAGAATATACGATCATCTACTAGTCCAGTCAAATATCTTTGACTGACGTAGCTTTTGTTCGGCCCAGAACCAGGCTATCTCCAAGACATAGCTTGACCCAAACCACAAAGCCGCTTCCACATAGCTCAGCCCAATTTAGCTATACAAATTAGCCTCTCAAGAGGTAACACAGTGTATTGAACATTTGATATGAATATTTAAAACAAAACTCACCTTTAAAATTAAACTTGTAAAAGAAAGAGTATATATATGTATAAGGTCAAACCTAGATTTCATGAGTTTGAATTTTCTTCTCATTCTAGACTATGAGGTTGTTTGGCATGTGTTACTTTAGCACATTTTTTTTATAATTTTTTTATTTTATTTGTGTATCATCTCTCTATCACATTGTATATCTTTTCGTAAAAAATTAAAAAAATATACTTATATAGGTTGAAAAATTAAGGAAATTGATTCTCTCCAGTCCACATAATGGATTGGCCCGTGATGTTCGAGCCCATGTGGCCCACCACGGGTCTTGTTTCGATAATCTGAACCGTTCAATGTATAGAGTTCGTTGAGTATTTCATTTTTGCAAAAAATAACATTAATCGAATATCAATAGCTACTTGATCAGATCAGATTTCTGTCAATAATTTATTTTGAAAATCACATTTATTGTTGACAAAAATATGATTTGATCAAGTGGTTATCAATATCCAATTAACGTAATTTTTTGTAGAGATGAAATGCTTGACGAGTTTTATACATTGAATGATTCGAATCATTGAAACAGAACCCCTGATGAGTCTCCCCGAGCCCAACAACAAGCTCCAGTTTGATCCCAAAAAGGAAATAAGGCTGCCCCTTTAACAGAAATTTGGCCATAAACCCCTTTTTAGCTTTCCTTTCTTGTTAAAAGGACAAGAAAAATTTAGTACTTTCAAAACTCTCTCATAATTATAAAGTCTTATATGAAGGACAAAATTTGTTATTTGAATATTTTATTTGACCATTATACTCTTTCTTTCTTCTCTTTCTCTTACAACTCTCTCTCTCTCTCTCTCTCTCTCTCTCTCTCTTCACCAACTCAATGGTTGTTCATTGTATTCACCATCTTTATCGTCTATCAGCGTCACTCATGCTCATCGTTAGCTGGTAATCACCATTTTTACCGTCAAACCACCATCATCTCAGATTTGATACCTATGAACTTATATTTGAGATCAATAGCTTTAGATTTGAGATTAAAAAAAAAAAAAACTTAGATTTGATAGAAAAATGAGAAATTGAGATAGTGCAATAAAAAATCAAGAGTTTTTTATTTATTTGTTTGCTTATAGATCTAAAAGTAAAATTTGACTTTAATTCGTTCATTTAGTATGTACTCCGTTTTTGTAAAAGTAAAATTTTACTCTGGTTAACATGCTAATCTACTTAACGACAGTGAAATTTTACTTTAAATCATAGTAAACTTACTTTGATTCAGAGTAAAATTTTATATATATATTTTTTATTACAGAATAAAATTTTACTCTGTAATCAGAGTAAAGTTTACTATGATTCAAAGTAAAATTTTACTCTAAAACAAGCTACGATGATATCTTTACAGAAGAGTGTTGTATCTTGAACCAGAGTAAATTTTTACTGTTGGAAAAATAAAGTATCATGAGAAGAAAAAAAGAGAGATAGAGTTCGAAAACAGAGCATTAAGAGAATGAGGAGAAAAAGAAGTAGAGAGAGAGAGCATAAATGGTGAGTGACACACATACACGCATAAAGAGAGAGCACGAACCATCAGAACCAAAGAGAGAGAGAGAGAGAATGAAAGATCTCAAATTTGAGATTTGCGAACCATTACAAATCGTCATTTTCTGGCAACAACAAATGCGAATGATCTCAGATCTGAAGTTGTGAATATGACTAGTGATGGTGGTGATCAAGAAAGTAAAGAAAGAGTTCTATAGTGAGCGGCAGTGGCACCGATGAAGAGTGGTGATACCGCCGATGAAGAGCAACAGTGATAAGAGTGAGACAAAAAGAAGAGAGATTGAGATAAGAGAGAGTGATTGCAATATATATATATATATATATATATATGTATGAGAGTATTATAATAAAAGAAATAAGTTTTAAGATATTAGGGGATTTTGAAAGAATCTATTGGTTCCGTTTAGTAGAGCTGTGGGAAAGTGATTATAACTTATAGTCTAACAGCTTATAACTGTGAACATAAGCTGATTTTTGACTTATAAACTAAGCTTCTCCTCTCCCACTCAAAGAATAAATTGATTTTTGACTTACAAAAAGTTATAAATTGTACTGTTAAGCGGAACCAAACATATCAAAATAGTTTAAATTAAGGTAAAAACTGAAATAAGTTAGAAATAAGCTCTACCAAATAAGGCCATTATCCTTTTGAATGACAAGTTAGACACTGAGAGACCTATCACCAAATCCTCAAAATTAAAAACTAAACTGAGATTATTTTTATAAATTATAATCTATTTGAAATTTTCGTAAATTTTTTTAACAATATAATTAGCTGTTCTACACAGACGATAATAAGGACCGTTTCAAGTAAATACCGCTTAAACAAACCATAGCTTTAAAGGAATCCATCCGACACAGCATTCCCAACCTTTTTCTACGCCTTTCTTCACTTACAACTTGTTCGATGTTTAACACTGGGATACTATATATAAACCCTTCCAACTCACATTACCCCTCTCTCTCTCTCTCTAGTTTCATAATATAGTTTGAATGTCACTGGCAATCAATTGAAGGTGAGTTGCTTCAGAACTATTTGTTTGTCTGCTTTGATCCGTCTTGTTGCAATACGAATTGATTTAAACTAATGAATATTTCAACTTCCATTCAAAATTTTCGAATTTGAGATTTCTTAATACTGAAGTTTCGAATAATTCTCTCTCTCTCTCTCTCTCTCTCTCTCTCTCACTATATATATATATATATATTACGTTTGCTTGTTTGATTTCAGTTTGAGAATTGCTTGAGCTTTGAACGCATTTTTGTTTTTGTTTTTGTTTTTAGAAATTAATGGAATTGTGTCATGAAGTTTCAAAATTTTAGTTGAAATTGGTGGGAAAAAAAGAAAAGAAAAGAAAAGGAGATGAAGTACTTCAGCATTTTAGAATTTGAAAAACTGTTGAATGTATTCGCAATCTAAAGACTTGTTTGTTGAGGTTACTGTACAAATACGAGAGTTTGCTTTTGAGTGGATGTTATATGCAATTTAGATGGTTAAGAGAATTAGGTAGATTAGGTTACTGAGTTCGAAATTCTTAAATGGGTGCAAATGAACAATGCTGAAAATCATCAATCACTGATGTGTTTCTGGATTTAGGTTAAATATTTGAACTTTTAGTGAAGAACAAAATCGCATTGGTTTAAGGCATCTGGATCATGGGTTTTTTTTTTTTATGGAATACTGGATTTGTCAGATGTGATTGTTTTGAGGATTATACGTAATTTGATTGTAGGATTGTCATTTCAGTTAATTATGGACAATTAATACTGTAGTCGAAATGGTTTGTGGTGTAGAACCAGAAGACAAAGAATGGCACGACCCACTCAAGGGTTTTGTCAGAAAAAATATAGTCTGTTAATAAATTATTATTCATTCAAATGTGATCGTTTTTGTATCACAATCTCCATATATATGGGATTTGTCTGATAATCTTACCCTCATGCTTGAATACATAGGTGTTCTCTCTCCCATAATTATGAACAACTTCATCATACACCCAAGTGCAACCTAACAACACATGGGCAACATCCATAGGTAGGATGTCACACTGGATACGGTCGGAGTAATCACCCATTTGGATTAGGACTTGACACCTCTCTTTGATTGGCAAGGAAGTCTTATCTACCCAAGGAACCCTAAATGGCTGAGTATGTGGCACAAACTTTAACTTAGTGACAACGGATTTGGAAGCCCAGTGCAACCTAACAACGCATGGGCAACATCCATAGGTAGGACGTCGCACTAGATACGGTTGAAGTAATCGCCCATTTGGATTAGGACTTGACACCTCTCTTTGATTGGCAAGGAAGTCTTATCTACCCAAGGAACCCTAAATGGCTGAGTATGTGGCACAAACTTTAACTTAGTGACAACGGATTTGGAAACCACATTTATGGTACTCCCACCATCAATTACGATTTCACACACTTTGTCCCTGCATTTCACAAACGTATGAAAAATGCTGGTGTGTTTCCACTCATCATCCCTCATAGGAGTGGTCAAAATGGTGTAGAACCAGAAGATGAAGAACGACACAACCCACTTTAGGATTTTCTTAGAGTACAAAAAAACATAAGATCAAGAACGGCACAATCCACTTTAGGACTTTCTTAGAAGAAAAAAAATTCTTTTTAAATCAATTAATATTCATTCAAAGGTGATTGTTTCTGTATCACAATCTCCATATATATATGTATGACTAGCATAGCACAACTAATAAGGAAATTAATGAAAAAATGAGAAATATTTAAAATGGAAACAAATTCTAAAACAAAGTCTCCTAAAAATTCTAGGTTTCCAATTGACGTTGCTTCCTGTGCCTGAAATATGTCTTCATTCGTTTCCTTTCTTAATCCCCATCAGTTTGTCAAAGATCTCGTGAGAAAACAATCTTTCCTTCACTTTTGTGTTAGCAATTATCTAAGTTTGACTCGGTATCTCAGGGAGTTCTTTTAAACAAGTGGGCAAAGAGTTTCTCTTTTTAAAGTGTCGGTCTCTCAAAATAAGGTGGAGACTGGAGAGCTTTCCCATGTTTCCCATGACAGAAAAAATTAGAAATTGTAAGTAAATAAATTTACAAGGTTAATTCAATGTCAAATATGAAAAAATAAATAAAAAAATATTTTTCCCATATGGGGTGTTGTTTGGGTTTAGACACTTTCTATTGAAATTTTCTACTGGTTATATTATTAAATGTATTTTTTCCTGTACTATAGTAGTTTGCCTTGGAGTTTTATTGTTATGCTAAATTCATACATTTTGATGCCATCGTAGACATAAGTCCATGATTCCAACATTATAAGGAGTATAAATTTTGGATATCTGTTTCAGAAAAAAAAGGTAATTTCCAGAATTAAGTTTAAAAGGGAATACAGCTTTGCTTAATTTGTTATGATTAAAATTTATTCTGGATTGTTAAAAGAGGATACTATAGGTGACACAGTCAAAGTTATCTGTCAGGCATGCAAAGGAAGTTGTGTGTTTCATTTCTTTTTTTTTTTTTTTTAACTTTTTTATGTAAATCATTATAGTGGCCGAAGCTTCTGATGTGGCAATAATAAATTTCAGAAAGATTCTAAACCATATATGAATGTTCAAAACGCTGAGATTAATATTGCTTTATTGTATTTCCTATCCTCTTCTTACTTACTCTTTGGCATCTTCATCTGCACAACTTATATCTTATGCTGGGTTTTAAATATCAGTTTATAAGTATTGGATTTTGGACTTCCAATACCGATATTCACTAATATATGACTGTATCACTGATATCGATATGTATCATGATACCGTTATTTAAAACCATGATCTTATGTTATTGCTAATTTCTGAACCAGTTTCTGATTTCAGGAAGCACACATACACGCTTGGAGGAACCTATATGTTTTGTCCTATTTGAAAATCAACAATCTTACAAGTTTGGAATCTACGAGTAAATATTTGGTCTGCATGTTGTAATTGGCAGCATTTTTTCTGAATTGCGACAAAGTGTAGTGATATTGATTACAGGCTTACAGTCGACTTCAGTTACATATATTCCATAATTGAGACCTGTATTGACAGAAAGTAACCAGAAAAGGACAGTTGCAGTGTTCTGGGGAAGCAGACAACTTTCTAATTGGAAAGATTGCTCGGGAAGTAAATATGTCTGAGCCAGATTCTGATGTTGTTCGCTGGGGTCTTCATTTTCTTGATGTTGATCAAATATTTAATTCTAATTATGATGGTGACAACAGTCAAGGTGATGGGAGCATCTGTCATGACCAGTACACCAGAGATAATAATTATGATACAGAGTGTAGCAATGTTGAGAACGATGAGATTATTGCACATGCTCTTCAAGAAGAATTATCCCAACTATCAATAGAGGAGGCATCTGAATCTTCACATGCAGGGGAGGAGCACTTGCAAGCATCTACCATTGCTCCCGATTGGCTTAGTCCATCGTCGAGGAACCATTATTCTGGTATTGGGAGACAGCTGCTGCTTGGTTGATGTTTGATTGTCTTGGCATGTTGTGACCTCTTCCAATGACTTCTTTAACAATTTGCAGGCTATGAGGGTGGCCAGGCAGAGGCAGAGGCAGAGGATATGGGACCCTCAAGTTCATGTTCTAGCCCTGGAGGCAAATCATATGATGGGGAGGAGTATTCCTATAATCTGGAGATAGCAGATGACTCTGCCCTGGATGGAGAAGTAGGCAAGAGGTTGCACGAAATTATTCCTGTTCCTGTGAGTGGAGCTTATATACAGTACCATGATGTTTTCTGCAGGTTCTTCCTCAGTAATATAATGTGTACCAAATTATATTGGGGGTGTTTGGTGGGGGTTTTTTTGAGTCAACTTATGGTTTCTGACTTTTAAAAAGTTATTTTGGACTGTTTGGTTAAACTTATTTTAAACAGTTTTTGATTCTAACAACTTATTTTAAGTCAAAAAAACTGATTCTGAGAAACTGCTCACCTCTTACTTCTGATTATTAGCTTCTGCTGTGGACATGTTAATTCACGGATACACTCTTAGATTTTTTTTATTTTTTATTTTTCCAAAAATAGAAAAAGCCCAAATGGACTATAAAATATTATTATTATTTTTTATGAGAAATGTAGACAAATAGTGAATAATAAAAAATAAAAGTTAATTGAAAAAGTTACTTCACAGCTTATTTAACAAACACTACTCAGCAACTTAAATCTATAATCCAACAAGTATACTAAATAGATTAACAACTTCTGATTAAAGTCATAAATCATAATCTGTTAAGCTATAATCTATAATCTGTTTTAACAGTTACACCAAACAGGACCATTGATGTCCATTGTTGAATTTTTTTTTTTTTAGCAGCACTATCATGATACTTCTCTTTCACCACTTACCCTTTTTAATGACTAAACAAATTGTGATGCTTCACTGCTAAGTGATGTGCAAAATATCATATATATGTATATACACTGTGGGTCTAAGGGGTTTGGTGCATACCCCTGTGGTTTGCTCCTCAAGCTTCAGTTCTGTAGTCACACTAATCCACTTACATTATTGAGCACTGATTTCGTCTTTGGAATGGAAGGCTGTGATTTGATATTTTTGTTGAGCTGACACTTTAAGAATTTCATTTTTTCTAAAGTTAATACAAGAAAAGATCGTGGTTTTGTCACTCAAATTTTATCCTTTTTTCTCTGCAAGCAACCCTTCAGCCAATTGGAAGCTTGGATATGTTAATTTCACACTGATCTAGAAATTCAAGTTCTTTATATTGTGCCAAGATTGCATAGAGAATCAAGTTCATTATAATGTATAAAATTCTGCATCTTACATCTCTGATCGATTTTATCCCTTGTATGGGTTGTACTAGTTTTCATTTCTATAGTGATTAGTATATGCAATATTGTTTAATTACTGGTCTAATGCAATCCATGTGCAAAAGGAAAATAATCTGATACTGAGAATCAGAAGCTAGGTCAATCTGTTAGTTGTGCTTAAACATCTACATACCAATCTGCAGGATAAATAGAGTAGAAAGCTGCAAAACAGACTCACACCTACTTTTCTTTCTTTCTTTATTATTATTATTATTATTTCATTTATTATGCTTAGTTAAAAAAAAGGCTAAAAGTTATTATCATATTCTTGGCTGTAGGCTTTTTTCGCAATTTCTCTAAAAACTGCTGATTACAAGCCATAACAACTATTTCAATATCACCCTGGACCTCTAATTATTTTAATCTGAAGGCTTTTGTTTTGTTGAGGGAAAGAAGGTGAAACTGATCATCTAATACTCGAGTGGTTGCATGATTTGCTTATGAATTCACACTGCTTGTAATGCAAAATACCATGACCAAAATATCTTTGTTTGGAACCCAAAGAACCAACTTACGAGTAAAAATCACAAGTTGGAAGTTAATAGTAGGATTTGACTTCAAGCCGTTTATTATAAGCATTAAGCATATGAAGGCCCCCAAAGCCTAGCATGTGGATAGGGAAAATTAAGAGACCTCTCTGTTCCCTCCGAAGTGTCCTCTTGAATGTTTTTAAGTTCTTGCATAACAACTCCTCAATATGCTTTGCATCTTTATTGTGTTGCATAATATGTAAATGAACAATTGTCTACTTTCATTGTCGTTTATTTCACTTGTATCCCCATTTGTTCCCATCTTTAAAATTGGCAATGTGGATGGTTTTATGATTCATGGGTTTAAACTTGGATCTAATCATTAAATTTTCTTAGAATTCTGATATTTAAACTATATGTGGGTATTATGCAGCACGTTCCTAGAATTAATGGTGAAATACCTACAATTGATGAAGCAACTTCTGATCATCAAAGGCTGCTAGATAGGTATTTTCTTATTTTTCTTCTTATGTTGGAGAAATTATGATTTTTTTTTTTTTTTTTTTATGTTGGAGAAATTATGAGTTTTTTTTTTTTTTTTTGGGTAGCTTTGGATTGATTAATGCATCTTAAATCTGGGGCTTGTCCATTGGTGTGACTCAGTGGATGCTAGAGTGACCATGGCTTTCCCCCAAGTCCTAAGAAATCTCCTTTGTACTTGGCGACCAAGAAATAATCACCTAACATATTAGCATTATCAGTCTCCCTCTGTCCCTCTTTTTTTGTTCATGCACACATTTTGTTATGGACCTTTTTAGGGCTGCAAATTTTCAAAGCCTAGGTAGGAATCAGATTGTGCACGTTCAGTCCTGCAGAATCTGGGGAAGCTCTAGCTCAGCTTGAGTTGGAACCTAGCCAAAGAATGTTGTTCAACCTCATAACTCATCTTGCTCGTGATTGCAGTGGCTTGGTTTAATCATTTATTGTTTTGGGACATATTCTTATATGCTTACCTGATTTTATTTTCTGCTGTTCATTATTCTGTTGAATGTATTATTTAGACTTGAAATAAATTTGTTTACGTGTTCGGATCCATTCTTCTAATTTCAAAATTGTTGCATACGCTATGTGGGGCTTTCAAAATGTTGTAGCTGATTGTTCCATATAAAAGCTAAATGTTTAAAAAGAATAAAGATACTGGCCCATCCATCAAAACCGCAATAATTTTTTATCAGTTCATGAAAATGATACTAATGATATACATCAACTCAAACTCTTCTGTAATGTTTTGGAATTTGTTGGCGATACCAATATTTCAGCCCTTTGGAAATCTGACTCTTTAATGCCCTATTCGCTCCTAGTCCTGCTTATGTTCCTTGTTTTGCTATGTATGATCATTCTTTCATACCTGCTCTATGTCTGCAAACGAGGAGGATAGAGGATTGACCCTTTCATTATTAATTAATTTGTTGGTTTTTGAAATTCCTATATTAGTGTATATTTATGGGGGTACTATGCTTCCTTTACTTTATTGTTGTTGGGATGTTCTTGTGAAGCGAAGTGCCACATCACCTAAGTACTAAAATAATGTCAAGCATATAAGTGTGAGAGCTAGCTTTTGGGGTTGAGTTCTACCTAAGACCGTGCAACGTGGTAGCAGAGCCAAAGTACTTAGGGATGGCTAGGGTGCGAGTCCCTGGCCTGCATGCCGCAGGTGCTTCCGAGTGAGCACATTGGGTGTGAGTGTGGGTGTGAAGCGAAGTCCTACCCAATATCGTGTAACCACTTTGCCATTTTTCTTTAGTTTTGGATATGAATTTTTTTTTTTTTTGATAAATAAAATTTATTGCGAAAGCATCAAGAAGATGTAAAAGAATACAAGACAAAGAAACCCCAAAAACATGGGACCTAACCAACTAAATCATCTACAAAATCCAAGAAAGCAAATAAATTGGGATCTATATTTCCCGCCACCCAGCTATACAAAACACCAAAAAATTGAGACTCTAACTGAGGCACTAATTGAGCACACCCTTAAAAAGTCTGTTGATTCCGCTCCAACCAAAGCAACCACATCAAACACAAAGGGGTTAACGCCGAAGCTCTCCGCTGCCTCTTCCCAACTCGACCACCCTCCCAACAACAATGAACCTCCATGACCCGGTTTGGCTAAGCCCACACCGCTCCAAACACAGAAAAAATAAGCGCCCACAAACGAGAAGCAAGACAATGAATAAGCAAATAATCCACTGTCTCTGCATTCGCACAATACATGCAACACCAATTAACCAGAATAGGATGCCGATGGATGAAGTTATTAATAGTCAAAATCTTGCCAAAAGCCGCCATCTACACAAAGAAATACACAAAGAAAGCCACATTCGATAGAACACCACCAATGTTGTAATGTGTCCCACATCGCCTGAAGTTGCCTTATTTGTGCTAGTTATAAGGTTTTAGTTTCGCTCTCCTTAATACCTGGATTTTAAGGAGAAGTGTGGGCTGGACTTTTCAATTTGGTATCAGAGTTTGGTTGAGCCTGTGATTGGTGTGCCGTTTGTCCGGCTAGTATATGTTGTGGTCTAGGAGGGTGTGTTAGAATGTGTCTTACATCACCTGGAGTTGCCCTATCTGTGCTAATTATAAAGTTTCAGTTTTCCTCTCCTTAATACCTGGGTTTTAAGGAGAAGTGTGGGCTGAGCTTTTCAAACCACCACACAAAATCTAATAAAACGTTGAAACTGAAAAAACTCCCCTCTCATGCAATACTGTTGGATATGTATTTGTTGAGGATATAAATAGTAAAGTTACGTCTCTTTCTAATAGCTTAAACTTTTAAATGAGGTTGTGATCTACAATTTAACAGTATTGCATGTTAGCTATAGTTGATTTTGGGTTTTTGGATATTGGGGCTTTTCCTTGCTTTGCTATGCCCTCTTTATCAGGTATGTACTACTTGCAGTAAACTTGAATCCGGATATTATTTTGCAGATTGCAATTGTATGACTTGGTTGAGCATAAGATTAAAGGAGATGGCAATTGTCAGGTTAGTTGTTTTGTTTTCTTCCCTTTTGAATAGTAAGTTGAATATTTTTGTTTAATCCCCGTCTGAACTATTCTTAGAAATAATTACTTTTGCCTGTGTGTGGTGGGGAAGTCATAGTAGCATTTGTTGCATTTGACCTAGTGCCTAAAAATGTGGGCCTCAATTCTAATAAAAACTCTTATTTTGTTTCTAAAGAAGTTTACCTTATTCGACTCCATTTTAGTTATTATGAATACATGTTTAAAAATCTACCAGATTCAACCCGTTAGTTATCAGAAATGTATGTTTAATACAAGGCAGGGGGGCTAAACCACATCCATCCTATTGTTTATATGTTAGGATCAATGGGTGTTGATGTAGTAAATGTATGTGATGCTCGCAAAGTACGGTTTGTCCTTAAGGTTGGTTCATGTGAAATGCTCCCAAGGAACAACAATAGATGCTGAAACTGTGGTGGTATTAGATGCTATGAGGCACATCATTCTCATTTATCAATCAAAGTTCCGTAGCTTTGACACATGATTACTAAACCTTTTTAGTTTTGGTTTTAAACCTTTTAAACTGGCATTTCATTTTAGATGTACAGTTTATTTTTTATTTTTTATTTCCCGAAGGCTATTTTCTTGAACCAAAAAGGAAAAAAATGAGGTTATTTTTAGCATTGAAGAGTTTATTTATGTAAATGGAGAGGGTTTGGAGCCACGATATGAATTTCTTCAAATTTGTCCGAATTGTTGGAGAGATCAAATTTGCTACTTTAGTTATGGTTAAATGACTTATTTTTGCGTATGACACCCAACTACTTGAATATATAGTCTTCATGAAAAATTCATTGGATCTTGCTAATACATTCAGAAAAAAACTCTTTGTGCATTTTTTTTTAACATAGAAGAATGTAGTTTTGTGTTTTGTTCCACAGTCCACTCTATAGGAGTGTGACTTGACCTCTCTTGCAGAAAAATTGTTGTGAAATGTTTAATTACCACCATTTAAGTTTTGCAATTATGGCCACACCAAGAACTAATACTTCGCTTTCTATGGATTTTATTTGGCCTTTGTTCCCTTCACATCGGTTTAAATGAACATTTCTACATGAATAGTAGTTTACACATTGTACCTAGTCCTACAGTTGTGGTTAGGGATGGCAAGGGGACAGCATGGGAGTGGGCCCTGCCTTCCTGAGCTCGCCCCAATAAGGGAAACCCCTTGCCCCAGCTCTACCATGGGAATGATCTCGCATCCTTTGTTCCCAAGCCACCCCGCTTCACCTTGTCTTTGAGTGAAATAAATCACGAAAACCCTAGAACGATTGTCAATCATGAATACACTCTGACATGTAAGAGACATTTTGATAAGAAACTATGATTACCTACCTAAACTGGACAAGGGGCCACTGCCACACCATTCAGATTTCTTCTCTAGCAATAATCTGAACTTGAAGACAATAACCACAATTTTAGGGTTTCTTCTTTGGCAACATCTGTCAAGGCAATGCTGGCCATGGATTATCGTTTGCCATGGGCAAGAGAGACTAGAGGAGACGGCAAGAGGAGCAACAAAATGGTTTCTATAGAAACCATATTGTTTATGTACAAGTGTATCTGAGGAAATGTGAAATATAATAAGGGTACTTGTGTATTTTAGACGTGATCGGGGCATAACATATTCACGTCTCTGGTCTGAGCCTGCTCAGTTTATGACTTACTATCCCCAAACAAGCCCTTACTCCAATTAGGATCACGTCAATCACCCCATACCCGTCCCATTAGGAATAGACTGGGTTGCCCGGATTCTCAGGTAATCAGGGTAAATTGCCATCCTTAATTATGGTTATTTATTTCTTATCTAGGTCATATGCAGTGGTGCATGCGTCATGCATGTGTATCTATTTGTTGTCTGTAGCTAAAGATCTACATGTACATATGCTGATCAAATTCTTGTATTGTGCATTTTAGCTTACTAATTATGTGCTTTTCTCCATTGAATTTTTTACTTTCAGATGTTCTGCTTTTGCGTACAACTTTCTTATTTTGTTTCCTGTCCACATGAACTCCATTAGGGTTCCATGGTTATTTATTTCTTAGAGTACACACCTAACCTTTGGCATAATGCACAAAGTGGTGGCCCCAAGACTTGAAACCATAACCTTAAGGTTATTAGGCCAAGTCTTAACCATTGAACCAATGGTCACCCCAAACACACATTAATGTGTACTAATTGGGCGTTGTTTTTATCTAGGTCATATGCAGTGGTGCATGCGTCATGCATGTGTATCTATTTTGTTGTCTGTAACTAAAGATCTACATGTACATATGCTGATCAAATTCTTGTATTGTGCATTTTAGCTTACTAATTATGTGCTTTTCTCCATTGAATTTTTTACTTTCAGATGTTCTGCTTTTGCGTACAACTTTCTTATTTTGTTTCCTGTCCACATGAACTCCATTAGGGTTCCTCCATATAAAACAATTGAAGGGCATAACTGTATAAGTTGACTTTTGTTTCCAAGGCAATCCACTGCAGTTTTGTCTGTTATGTTGTTACAAAGTTAACTGTATATGTTGTTATACTTTTTTCCTTAATTGTGAAATAACCCTCCTCCCAAAAAAATGGAAAAATTAATTTTCATAGTTTCCATGCAGTTTTATCCCTACTGATATGTGTGTGTAAGGAATTATCATGTATTATCAGATTGTCCTATTTTTCCAGCAGCTGTGTTTCTCACTCCTTTTTTCCTTCTCTAGTTTCGTGCTTTATCAGATCAATTCTATCGCACCTCAAAGCTGCACAGATATGTGAGAAAACAAGTAGTTAATCAGGTGGTTATCCTAGATATTAATATTTTTTTGCTGAAATTTTATTATTGTTGAGCTTGAATGGAAATTATCGGTATCCTAATTTTCCTTCTTAATAATGCTTGGATATTACCAGCTTAAGTCTCATCGCGAGATGTATGAGGGATATGTTCCCATGGAATATGGTGACTATTTGAAGAAGATGTCCAAGTATTATTCAAAATCCTTTGTAGTATTTTTTGTTCTTAGTTTTCATATCATTACACTTAATTGTTGTTTATGCCCTTGGTATTTTGATTAAACTAGGAGTGGTGAATGGGGAGATCACGTGACATTGCAGGCAGCTGCGGATTCGGTATGAATTATGGATCACCAGCAAAACAATTTTTTTCCTTTCATTCCTGTTTAGTTGAATTTCGTTCCGGTTTTGGTTTATTATTGTTGGCTTGAATGTAGGCCATTGCAAGATATATGGTAAATTTGAAAGTTGCGAGTTGATGTGCTTCCCTTGGTAACAAATGAATTTTATAGATTTTTAAATAGCATATTTACTTTGTTGCGTATTGGTTAGTTGGGAATTTATGCATGGGCAACTGTGTGGTCCATATATTAGAAAAGATGCTGGGTACTTATGGGCGCTTAGTGTCAACCTTTCTATGCTTTTATGCTTTTCCTTTGTCCATCTTCTTGTGCTACCCTCATTACCGTCAATGCAGTCCATACTAATAAATTTTGTGATTTAAAAGAAGCAAAATTGATGCTGGACGAGTAGGGACAGTAGCAACAGTGTTCTTTTGAGGCTGATTTTAATTGGGTTTTATGGCCGAAATTGCAATAATCATATAGGAGTTTAAAAGGTTTGTTTAGGGTAATAAAGGGGTAAGAGTTTGAGTATGAAAAGATGAGATTGTGGCACTGTTTTAAGGGGCTGTCATGAAGCTGTGAACAGTGATTCGTGAACAGTGTTTTGGGCTGTTAAAAGTGCAGTAAATAAAAAAGGGAAAGAAAGAGAAGAATATAGGTTTATGAATCACTCCTAGAATCCCTTGGGGATTGCACATAGGGTTTGATTGCATCACACAATCCATAAGAAGTTTCAAAAGTTCTGAAAATTTTCTAAAATACCAACTCTATTAAATTACAAGCATTACATGACTTTATATAGAATTTTATAATTTCATAAACCAACTAGAACAAAAAAAAGAAACTACTAAAACTACTTTGAGTTCCAAAACCAATTTAAGGCTAAATAAGAAATATAAATAAAGATCAATTAAATAACTTAATCCACAAGACAACCCATGGGCAACCCCTACAACCCATGTTAGCAAATATGAAAATTATCAAAATACCCCAACCTAAAATCTTAGAAAACATAAATATAATCATAAAATAAGACTCTAATAATATTAGAAACATAATTATATAAGATTTCGATTTCTATAAGTTTTTCTATGAAATCATGCCAATGTCCAAATATCATTGTTTCTTTGAATATAGCCTTTCTTGAGCTTCTTTACTCTGCATAAAAAATTCACTTATTTATTGAAGAACATTATTATACTACTCTTTATGTGGAAAATAATGATTTTCTATTCCCAAGAACAAATTTTCTTTCAAGGTTTCTCTCACCTCCTTCAAACTCACACCTGGATTTTAAAGTAATCTTTTGATAAAGTTTTTTTTTATAGTCTTTGCATGAGAAGTATTGTATATATTTTTTTTCACAAGAAACAAATTTTTTTTTTTAAGCGCTCTCTCCCTTTCTCACCTCGTTCAAATTCACACCCCTATTACTAAAAGAATTATGATGTTTAAGTTTTTTGGTAGTCTTTATGAGGGAAGTAATAAATTTTATTTTCTCAAGAAACAATATTTCTCTCTCCCTCTCTTAGGCAGTATCCAAGTCTTGGAGGCAAGGTTTTGAAAAGCGGTTGCGGTTGTGGTCGCAGTCGCCATAACGGTGGCGGTGGCGCGGTTGTGGTTGTGGGTTGTAAAGGCCGTAGCGCAATGGTTACAGTAACCGAAACCGTGAATTTTTTTATGGGGTACTTACGTGTAGGTCCTAATAAGTAGGCTTATTGTCTAATAGGTCCAATGAAAAAAATTTGTCATAAAAAAAGTCACGAATTGTAAATTTTAGCGACAATTTATAACAATTATGACAAAAAAAAGTCACTAATTGTTAATTTTTAACGACGTATGTAAAAAATTGTCACAAAAAAATTATTTTTAATGACAATTTTACCAAGACTTATTTTCAATAGGATTTGATGGGAATTAAATCCAACTATTAGGACTTATTGGTAGTTTACCATTTTTTTATTTTTCGCACAATTTGAAAAAAACTTACCGATGCGCATATTTTTTTTTCCATGATCATATTTATTGGGTTTAAAATAAATATTGATCAATTTTTGTAAATTTTTAAGTATGATCTAATATATTTCATATTTTTAAATCACTATGAACTGAGTTTTTTATATTTTATTTTAATAATTAATGATTTTATATTATACAAAAAATAATCACAACCTATTATATATAAGATAAACAATGACAAAAGTAAGAGAATAAATAAGAGCCTAAATATATATATACATATTTTAGCCAAGCCAAATAGAAAATGACCACACTTATTATTATTATTATTTTCAAACAATATATAGATAGACACGCACAAACAAAATGGTTGAGTGATAGCAACTAAATAGAATAGCATAGGTCTTACAGCTTCAACAAATCAATAACATGTTCTTCATCTTTCCTCTTCTCTCTCTCTCTATCTCTTGCTCCTCCATCTTCTCTCTTTATCTTCCCTCTTCTCTCTATCCCTATTCCTCCATTTTCAGCTTTTTTTTTGTGTTTTTTTTTTTAAAGAAGCAATTCGGAACGGTTACATAACGGTATGTAACAAACTGTTACGACACCGTTATGACCGCTATAGCAACCGCTACGGCTGACACACCTGTGAATCTCAATCACACTGCAAAAGCGGCCGTAACGGGTTGCGGTAACCACCACAACTACCGCAACCCGTTACGTAACGGTTGCGGCCGCTTTTTAAAACCTTGCTTGGAGGTTTTAGGTCAAATCTTTCTGTTATGTGTTGGCAATCAACTAAGATTCTTCTTTTCATTGAAAAGAACTCGAACTACTTAAGTACCATCTAAGGTTGTGTGCATATATAGGAAGATCCTTAATTGATAATATGGTTGTAGAGGGCACATCATCGCCACTAGATTTTTTGTTTGTGACAAGGGGTGGCAGCAAGGCAGAATCGACCGCAAATATTTTTAGAATAATTCCTTGAAGCATGCTAGAAAATCGGGGTCAATATGTGTTTTTGTTTTTCTTTCTTTTTTTCCCTTGATAAGTGATATTTCCATATAGAAGTTTGGAACATCAATAGCTCTAGTTTTCCGTGGCTAATTTTTTTCTTTCTATATAATTAGCTCTCTTGTGGAAGTTTGGTAGATTAAAAACTCTATTTTTGCCTAACTAAGCATCTCTAAGGGACTCTTTAAACAAGGCTTGTTATCATCATATTTTAGTCATTCCAATGGGCTAGCTATTATAATAGTTATTTTAACAAAATTCTTCAAGGCTAGCTACATTTGAAGACGTTTGTGAGGCTCTTTAAATAGTTTGCATGTGTAGATAGGTAAAATACAGAGTAGTGTTAGAGTACATAAATAAAAAATGAATTAGGCAAAATAAAGAACATGCCTTTTTTTTTTAATATATTTTAGCTAGTAAAAAATGAAGAATGTGGTTGGAGTTGCTCTAATATGATTGGCAAGATATCTTTGCTATAATGGTTGCAATCCTAGAAACTGAATTTCTCCATCTAAGTTTAGAATTTTTTGAATTCTTTTTAGTAGACATTTTGGGTCTTTAAGCTTCGATTTGGGTTTAGTTAAAAAGAAAAGAAAACTGTGCCTAAAATTTTTAAGTTCTCAAGAAGATGAATGATGCAAAGGTATGAACCATATCCCTAGAAAGACTAATCAACCACAGACATCAGTATGTTTCTATTGCTTTTATGGTCTTTCTTCATCAGCGTCTTTAGTTACTTATCTATGGTTTGTTCGTAGTAATATTTATTTATTTTTTGTACAATGAGCTTGTGATTTTTTTTGTTCACAGTTGCTTTTTATTGTTTGTAATCATCATTTATTAAAAGTTTTAGAGTGGGTAAGAGAGTATGGTGAGTCGCCGTATGCATCGTAGAGTGGCTGTTGCTTTTTAGCCATATTTGGAGTTGTTTGGGACTCCGTAGGGCAGTGGTGGAGCTCCTTCATAGTTGGCCGGGGACTAGAGTTGGCAAGAGGAGAATGAAGAGGTGCAATGCTGCTCCTCTTTGCTTAATGTGGCCCATTTCTGGATTGAGAAATTACCTGTCCATGAAGAAGTGGAAGAGATTATTCACAAGTCAAAAGCTGTTTTTTGAGCATTATAGGTTTCGATGGAGTTTGATTTGGGATATTCTTTTGGGTTTTGTGGAAATTTATATCCCTATGATGTTGAGGTCTATGTTTACGTTTCTTCGTGGATTCAGTTTGAATGTATTGGCAGCATCCCTGTTGGTGCCTTTTGAACATGTGTGCTTGTGTTTGTGTGAATAAGTGTGTGTAATGTATATGGTTACATTTTTTTTGGAATATCAGAATAATGGGAAATGGGGAAAGTAATTGCAAATGGAGTGATTAGTCTTTTTGGGCAGGCAAGCTACTAAGCTTAGGTTTAACTGTAAGAGAATAACTAACTGGCTTGTTAAAATGTTCATTCATCCGGAACTAATATATTTTATTGTTGTGTTGCAGTATGGTGTAAAAATTTTTGTCGTCACTTCATTTAAAGATACCTGTTCCATTGAGATTCTTCCAAAGGTCCAAAATTCCAACCGGGGTAACTTTCAGCGATTTCAAGTTTATGTGAACATTGATAATGGCTTTTGTCTTTTTGTAATACTAAAAATAGCGCTCGTAGTTCTTTCCAAATAAAACCAATCTTTCATTTTCCAAGTTTCTGTGAGAGTTAATGATGAGTCGGTGTTTCCATTGTGGAAATACTAAAAATAATCCTGTTGGTTTTTTCCATAGTCTAATTGATTATACCCTAGTTCCAGTGAGCATTAATAGCAGCTTGATTTCTCTGTTCTGTAGTTGTAAAAATAATACTGGGAGCTTTTTGCAAATATTAACTAATTATATCCTCACTTGGTGATAGCTCTGCTGCGATTTTTACAGTTTCATTTAGATTTACTATTTCTCAACTTAATGTAAAATATATAGTTGAACAAAATTTCTCTGTTTGGTACCCAGTTTCTATGTTTCGTCAACATTATCTGTTCAGTATATGGCTATAATCATACTTGCATTGATTGTCTATTAAAGTATGACTGATATGTATCAATGTTCTAAGCTCAAAGGTTTTATTACTTTAAAAGGTTATAGTGATGAACTTATGTCAATTCCATTTAAAAGACACATTAGGGGGGAAAAAAAAACTCATAAGTTTCCCTTCATGAAGCACAAAAAATAAACAATGACTAAATCAAAACAAAAATTCAAGAAAACTTAAATATAAACCCCATGGAATGAAGGAATTAAGTGTGCTAGTCAGGATGTATGATATGCTTCGTTGGCATTATATCATGCAAGAAAAATAGGAAAGACGGACTATATCCCATGTAGAATTAAATAGATTATAAACCTAGGTAGATATCAGAACTAAATGTAGCTAAATGGTCTATAATAGTAAAGATGTTCTAATCTCTGCTAAACTCTATTTGAATCTTCTCCCTTGCAACACTTTCCAAGTCTTGTTCAATTCCTGTTCATAATAATAATACTATCTTAGCTTGATTTACCATAACCACACTCAAGAACTTCGTGATAAATTTAATCTTCATTTCAAGTGTCTTGATCTGCCTTTGCATGTGTTATGTGGAAATGTAACATTGTTAATTGTATTTCAACCCTACCTGTTTATCTTTAGTCATGCCAATATTTATTGCATATATAAGGTCAAAATCATGAATTTAATGAGCCTTCTCGTAGGAATTGCTTAGGGTAAACCACAATTGTTTGTAATATTTTTTTTAATCCAAAGGATTTATAGATATGATTTTGTTGCATTTGCAGTCATTTTCTTGAGCTTTTGGGCGGAGGTGCACTACAACTCTATCTATCCTCAAGGAGGTGACTTCCCTTACTTTTCTTAAAGAGAACGAGTATAAATTTTGATTATAATTTCAAGTTTCCAATTTCAACCAATCACTACTTGAGTTTCGATGGATTTAGTTATTTGCACCTGGGTGTTTGCGGGTTTAGCATGATGTTTATGCTTCATTGTTTTTTGTTTTAAACTAGGATTACTGCCATCCGATTCTAAGAGGAAGAAAAGGTGGTGGCGGCCTTTCGGACATAGGCATTAGAAGCTTTCTGGCTTGTGCTAACCATGCATACTACTGCACTCATCCTTGGCTGGTCAGTCTCCTGGTGTTTTATATGTATTTATTTTAGTCCACAACTTACTAATGTAAATGATCCACAAATTATACATATTCTTTTATATTTTTATTTTTCATTGTTTTGAAGGTATAGTACCTGTTTATGCATGTAGTTAAAAAAATTTCCCCCTTCAATTTTTTTTTTTTTTTTGAAAATTTGCCCTTTACTTCATGCTTACGACATTGTGAAACTTTTTAATTTAGGATTTGGAAAAGAATTTTGATATACTTGAAAATAATGTAATGTACTAGAATAAAGATCAAAAAATTTCATGGAAGTTCTTTCCATGGTTTGTGGAAATTGACTATTATTTGAGTGATTGGTGATTGACAGGATTTTTCTAATGATAGAAGTCCTTTTCATTTATTATTATTATTAGTTTATATATTTAGTGAGGTTAAATGGAAGGAATTTTAGAAGTAATGCACTGAGCAGTCCATTTCCATGAAGTTGCCCGAGTGGATTTGTTTGGGAATGAACTTTTTAAATAATTTTTTTAATTTTTTAACTTTTTTATGAGGTGAAAAAAAATTAATATTTGATAATGACATTTTTAGTGGTACAGAAAAACATGAAAGGCTGAGGTGATCTTTTGACTTTTTGCATGAAATTTTCATGAAAAGTTATTGTGAGGGTATGTTTTTATACTGATAGAAGCTAATTTTTCTAGATGCAAGCCAAATATGTTAGTTTTTTAGCTTTTTGTTTTGATATATATATATATATATATGTTAAGTTTCTTTCGAGACGAGGCCTTATTTGGGTTAAGTGAAAAAATTAATATTTTCCAAACTATCTCTGTTTAATGTATAAGCCACTATGGGAGGCCTTATTTAGGGTAAGTGAAAAAATTTTAATGTACAAGCCACTCTGGGAGCTTGGAGAATTTTATCACCCTCCAATGCATTGTTTTCTTCGACCTATGTACATTAACAATATATTTTTTTGTTTAATATGTATTTATATAGATGTATCATTTTTATTTTTTTACTTTCTTCTACGTTACCATACATTTGTTGAATAATATAAAAAAATAAAATACATTTATTAGTTTTGAATATTTATATACACAAATAGTGACTATGTGAATATTGATGGACGATATTCAAAAATATTGTTGCTAAAACAATATTTCTATGGTGAAAGCATTTATTTATTTTTTTAAATGTAATTTTAAAGGACTTTCAAGGAAATCGTTTACCAAATATGCCTCTTCTATTTCTAGGAAGCATAGAATGGTAGTGAATTTTTTTTTTTCATGAAATGGTGTGTTGTTATTCGGTAAATACAACGAAAAGGAAATATGAAAAACGAAATAATTTTCAATGCTTGGTGATGGTGATTGATATATTGATGCTTGTATGCAAAATAATGAACAACCGGCATGCTGTTTTCCGGCAGGCAGTGGTGGCTGATGGAAACGAAACCGTAAACCTTAGCAAAACCACCTACTGGTAAAAACATGTCTGCATAGGTTTGAGGAAGAAACCAAGAGCAAACCTTGAAATATATCTATTGCAACAAAATAATATTGACACTAAATAATGGTAACAAAAACAAATATTCATGGTGATTTAATTGTTGTCTAGTACAAGGGGTAGATAGTATTTAAAACAACGTTAACATGCAAACACCACAACAAAATTCGGGAGAAAAATTACAAGCTATTTACATGACTCAAATATGATTTGGATAAACAAAACTTTATGAAAATAATTCACAAATAAAATTTGTAATGGTATACAAGTTTATAAATTTTATAAACTTGTCTTACTCTTGTATCATGCAATAAAAATTTAAAATTTAAAATAGAATCACTTTGATAATATGATAGAGTTGTCACACAAGTATGAAATTGTTGGTTTGTATAATATTTTTTTCAATAGAATGCATACACAAAGCCATCAACTGATTTATGGCATTCAATTTTTGAAAGGAAAATGTTAATGATCATCATCGCTAATTTTATTATGTCTAAAAGATATGTATAAATACTATACAAAAGTGTATAAAAATATTTTTTAAAAATACAATAATTTCTCTACTTTATCAATAAACCATAAGGCTGTAGAGAACCCTTTACACTAGTAAGTTGTGAACTAAGATAAATACATATAAAAAAATGCATAGTCTAGCACAAGCCAGAAAGCTTCTAATGCCTATTTCCAAAAGGCCGCCACATTTTCTTCCTCTTAGAATCGCACGGCAGTAGTTCTCATTGAGGGGTAGTTTGTATTTTATTGGGGTGAGTGTGGGTCGGTTGCGGTTATAGAATTTTTAATCCGTTATCCATTTATTAGATTGGTGGATTGAAAAAAATCAATTCGCATTCGTCTGTCAATTCGGCAGCTGTAGATTGAGAGAATTAGTGGATTGATGCGAATTGGTTTGACGGTTTTTTAGAGTTATCATTTTTAGAGTTAGATTTAAAAATAAAAAAATATAAATAAATAATACATCTATTTTTTTTAATTCAAAAAATATATTTAAGTTGAAAACTCTTTTTCAACAGAATATTTAAATTCTTTTTTAATTAAAAAAATAAACAGAATATCTAAACAAATTGAAAACACAAAGTCTTACAAATTACTAAGGGTGCTCGCAGTTTGGCGGTTCTATTGCAGCTAAATGAACCTCAAATCCGCCATCCGTCCAAAATTAGGTAGATTGAAAAAAATCAATCTGTAACCGTGCACTCGTAATCACGTATCTGTCCAAAATACAACAGATTCTCGATCGATTTGAATGGATTAATATATCCACTACTCACCCCTAATATTTTAACTCCAAATAAAAATATCATAAAAAGTAACTTATGTTAGAATTTTTTATAAAAATATTATTTGTATATTACTATCAAGAAAATAAGGAGTGATTGGAATGAAAAATTACTTCATTGTCTTCCAACAAATCCATGTGATATTCTCTAATATTTTATGTTTAATTTATGAGAAATAATTAAATAATGTGAAACGCATTCATTTCAAAATGATTGGACTAGCAAATAAAGTCTTCTACCTTTCCCATCATTTTTACTCAATTAATCCTGTAACTATTTTAGTCCTGTATTAAAGACCTTGCTTAGAAAAACATAAATGCCTTCATTTATGCTGCACCTAGAAAAAGTAAAAAATATATAAAATTGTGACAGCTAGATTACCACCATTACACATATTTGCTACTAATAATAAATACTAAATACTATGCAATTAGGGCTACATGTATTTCAATTTCTGATCATTTACATTTTCCTCATGCCCTCTCACCCTTCCTTATTATACATACAGACCTTCAAAAAAAAAAAAAAAAAAAAAAAAAAACTGTAGAAGACTCGACTTTAATTATTATTATTAGATCGGACATTCCAAAATTTTCAAACCAAACAGCACACAATCCCTAAACCCCAAATATCTCTTCATTGTGTCTCTCCTCCGCCTCATCACTCTCCGGCTGCATCAACAACGCCGTAAATGGCATATTCCGGTAAAACTCATCCCCTGTAAACTCCATCCCCATAGCCGGCGACGCTGCTCTGCACAAATCCACTCTGCAACTCGGCGGCGCCACCAACATTCCAGGCATTATGATGTGTCTGCTGCCACTCATCGATGCCGTCAGCGGCGTCGCCGGCGCCGGCACTCTCGAATAACTAGGAGAGAGCGAAGCGAAGACCGACCGTTGGGAGGAGGGGATGGTACTGGTTGGGGTGGAGAAAGGCTCCGCCGGAGTGGTGCCAGTGCCGGTGGCGGCAATGATAGAGGGCTCGGCCTGGCGGAGGAGCCACTCGATCGTCTCACCGTCGGATCGGTGGCCGAGTTCGCGAGTCAGCTGGAAGATCCGGGCGGCACAGAGCGCCGGCATCCGGATCCGCCGCCCCCGGCCGTTCACCTTCGTATGACGGTCCTTCAGCGACGATGAACCACCGCCTTTTCGAGTCGGCACCAATTCGGCGGCGGCGGCGGTGGTTGAGATGTGGTTTTGTGAAGAGAAGTTGCGGTGGAGCATCTCTGAACTCATGGTTTCAGAGAGAGAGAGAGAGAGAGAAGGTGAAAGAAATGAAGAGAGAGAATTTAGGGTTCGTAAAAGTTTGAGCTAGAGAGAGAGAGAGGAGTAGGTGTGTTTTACACAGGTGGTTTTGGGGATTCTATTGACCCCACAAGTGAAAGACTCCTCTTTTTATAGTAGAGCCTGTAGACGTGGATTTGTCTTTGATTGTCAGAGTTGTGGTGGGGTGGGTTTGTCTTATGACTACATCTGGACTTCGGGTCCACGTGTCAACTTGGGTCCACAATAAGTATTTTTTATTTACTTTTTGGGTTTGTTTTTAAATAAAATAAAAAAATAAATTATACTAATCTCCCTCCAAGTTTATAATAATCATGAGAACATGAACTATGTTAGGAGTGTTCACCAAACCGTGAAACTTGACCCACCTGACCGAAACGTCTGACTTGATAAACATATCTAGGGTGTGCGTGGTGCGGGTCGGTGCGGTTTGAGAGAAAAATAAAAATCATATGACGGGTGATGGATTGATAAAAGTGTCACTAGAATTTGTCATTTTTCTTATCAAAAATCGACAGTTCGGTTGGTAAATAATGACGGATTTGCCTTGGCGGTTCGGGCAGATTGGCGGTTTATAAAAAATATAATTCAAATTACAAAACTTAAATCAAAGAGTAAAAAAAAAGACGAGAGATCCCGTGATGTTAAGCATCTTGCGAAACTTTCTTCTGATGCAGCAAGTGTAGCAACAACATGATAATATCAATGACTATGCCATCAGTTCATTACAAGCATCTGTGGAAGCTACAATGATCAAATACAACACATAAAATTAATATCATTCAGGATTTACAATATATTGAAATGTTTACTGTTAAAAAGTATTTAGATTGAAAAGTGAGCTGATGCAAGTTTGCAACATGGCCAGAAAAAAAAAAGATTGAAAAGTGAATTGGAATCCAAATTTATTTTGGATTACTGACATTTTGAATTCCCCTCGAGCAGTAATGTAATACTATATTCTAAGGCATAGAACAACAAGCAAACTTAAGTAAAAAAGAATTTTTAGAATCTTATAAAACATGATTTAATAGCGGTGTGGGTCGGTGTGGTTTGGAAGAAAAATAGAAACCAGCGGATTGATAAAAGTGTCACTAGAATTTGCCATTTTTTTTACCAAAAACCGGCGATTCGATTGGCAAATAATAACGAATTTGCCTTGGCGGTGCGGTTTTGGCGGTTTTGACGATTTTGGCGGTATTATGAACACCCCTAAACATACCGGTTGTTTCAAATCACACTATGGTCGGTTGCAGTTTGTTAAAATTTGCTTGGTTCCCATTTTTTAAAAACAGTTTTTAGAAAATTCTACACCTACAAAGCCTCGTATGGTGCCATACCGATGCTGGAGTGGAAGCTGTTATTATAAGCAAATTCTGCAAGTGGCAAATAATCTTCTCAGCTCTCCTAAAAATCCAAAGCACACATGCGAAGCATATCTTCCAATGTCTGTATCGTTCGTTCTGACTGCCCATCTGTCTGTGGGTGGAATGCAGTACTGAACCTTAGTTCTATTCCCATAGCTTCCTGCAAACTCTTCCACAATCTAGATACAAATTTCGGATCTCTATCCCACACAATAGATACCGGAACTCTGTGTAAACGGACAATTTCATTAACACAAATAGTAGCCAGTCTATAAGCAGTAAATGTAGTTTTGACAGGTAGAAAATGTGCAGATTTAGTCAGTCTATCAACAATAACCCAAACAGAATCCATACCTCGAGAAGTCCGAGGTAGGCCAACGACGAAATCCATGGTCACATGTTCCCACTTCCATTCAGGAATAGGGAGAGGTTGAAGTAAACCGCCTGGTTTTTGATGTTCAGCCATAACTTGCTGACACTGAAGGCACTTGGACACATATTCTGCATCTCTCTCTTCATTTTAGGCCACCAATAGGTTTGTTTCAAATCTCGATACATTTTATTGTTGCCCAGATGCATAGCAAACACGGATCTATGGGCTACATCTAAGATCCTCTTCTTTAGTTCCGGAATATCTGGGACACACGTCCTGTTCCGAAATCTCAACACTTGATTTTCGATACTAAACTCTGCTTTCGGACTTGCCTCAAATTCCCTAATTACTTTCTTGAAAAACTCGCCCTCTTTTTGTTTTTGTTTGATTTCATCAATGATCGCCGGCTCGACTGTAATAGTGGCTATCAATCCACCCTGTTCACACACTACCACTTCAATTTCAGACTTCTCAAAGTCTTGTAAAATCTCCCTTTGTTTAGTAAGCAAACAAGCCATACCCCCTGTTGATTTTCTGCTCAAGGCGTTAGCCGCTGTATTAGCTTTCCCGGGATGATATTGAATCTCTAGATCGTAATCTTTTATCAGTTCCAGCCATCTTCTCTGATGCATATTCAGCTCTTTCTGCGTGAAAAAGTATTTCAGGCTCTTATGATCCGTATAGACTTCACACCTTGCCCCATATAAATAGTGCCGCCAGATTTTCAAAGCAAAAACAACTGCGGCCAATTCTAGGCCATGTGTTGGATAATTCTTCTCATGTGGCCTCAACTGTCGGGAGTCGTAAGCAATAACCTTTCCGTTCTGCATTAACACACAACCCAAATCCTTATAAGATGCATCACTAAAGATTATGAAATTTTTTGTACCTGAAGGCAATGTCAAAATTGGTGCAGTAGTCAATCTTGTCTTCAATTCATGAAAGGCTGATTCCCTTTCTTCGTTCCACTCAAAAGGTTGCCCCTTGCGTGTCAGTTGGGTAAGAGGCACTGCTAATTTCAAAAAGTCCTTCACAAACCTCCTGTAGTACCCAGCCAAGCCCATGAAGCTGCGAACTTCTGTCACATTAGTCGGTGTAGGTCAATTCACAATTGCCTCTATTTTCTGCGGGTCCATTGAAATTCTTTCCTTGTTGATCACATGCCCTAAGAAAACAACCTCATCCAACCAAAACTCACATTTCTTTAGTTTAGCGAACAATTTCCTTTCCCGAAGTATTTGTAAAACAGTCCTCAAGTGATGCTCATGTTCAAGTCTATCTTTAGAGTATATCAAAATATCATCGACGAAGACTACAACAAACTCATCAAGGTAGGTTTTAAAAATTCTATTCATTAAGTCCATAAATGCTGCCGGAGCATTAGTCACTCCAAACAGCATAATAAGAAACTCAAAATGACCATACCTTGTTCTGAATGCGGTTTTCTCAACATCCTCTACCTTAACTTTCAGCTGATGATACCCGGATCTTAAATCAATCTTAGAAAACACTTGTGATCCCTGCAACTGGTCAAATAAGTCATCAATACGGGGTAAGGAATATTTGTTCTTTATCGTTACCTTGTTCAATTCCCGGTAATCAATGCACAGGCGCAAGGTACCATCCTTCTTCTTTACAAATAACACTGGTGCACCCCAAGGCGAAGTGCTAGGCCGGATAAACCCTTTATCAAGACGGTCCTGCAACTGTTCCTTTAATTCTTTCATTTCGACAGTAGCCATTCTGTAGGGAGTTTTAGAAATAGGCTGGGTGCCTGGCACCGTTTTAATGGTAAACTCGATCTCTCTGTCTACTAATTCCCCTAGTAATTCATTCGGAAACACATCTAGAAATTCTCTAACAATAGGAATATTATTCAATTCAACATTCTCAGATTGTTCAGACAACACATAGCACAAATAACCCTGGCACCCTTTCCTGATCAGTTTACATGCTTTCATTGTAGATATCAAATAAGGTGGAGGCATTACCCCATTACCCACAAACACAATCTCTTTCAATTCTGGTAGGTTAAATACAACCCTTTTTGTCACACAATCTATGGTGGCACAATACTTGGTCAACCAATCTATGCCCAAAATTACGTCGAAATGTCTAAAGTTCAAGGGTAACAAATCTACATATAGGGTAGCATCCTCGATATGCATGTCACAAAACCGATATATATAATCACATAACACAGATTCCCCCGATGGAGCAGACACACATAACAAATATGGCAATAATTCTAGGGGTCTATTCAGTCTAGATGCAAATGTATGTGTCACAAATGAGTGCGTTGATCCAGAATCAATTAATACAAAGGCATCCTGATTACATATTGAAATAGTACCTGAGACAACGGCATTGGCGTTCCGTGTATCGCCCGGAACAAGTGCAAAAACTCTCCCCTGTCTCACTGTATCCCCAGTAGTAGCAGATTTCAAGGTGTTCCCTGGCTTCGGGATCGATGCAGTGGAACTAGTTGCTAGTTTCCCACTATTCTGATTAGATTCTCGGGCTATGTGCCCTTGCTTTCCACATTTGAAACAGGCTCCCGATGCACGGTAACAGACTCCACGGTGCCTTTTGCTACAAATGTTACACATGGGAGCTGTGTCTCGGGAAGAACTCGAAATATTTGAGGAGCCTATGTTTTGCTTTTTCAGAAATTTCTTCTTCGAAAAGAAGCCTTGCCTTTTATTGCCCTTCTATTCTGTTGTTGGCTTACCTTGTCTAGCTATATTAGCCTCTGATATGATGGCCCTGTCTAGCACCCCAATGTAGGTCTCCAGCTTTAGGACATTCACCCTCTCTAGGATGTCACTGCGGAGTCCACCTTCAAAGTGTCTTGCCTTCTTATAGTCTATGTCAATTACATGTGGGGCAAACCTGGCCAACTCAGTGAATTTGGCCTCATACTCAGCTACAGTCATGCTATCTTGCTTGAGTTCCATGAATTCCGCTACTTTCCTGTCCCGGACGCATTGTGGAAAGTACTTGTCATAAAATATTTCTAGAAACTTTACCCAGTCGACATCCTTATGATTTTCTCACATCAACATCCGCCATCTTCTTGCTTCGTCTTCTAGCATAAAAGTGGCTAGAAGCACTTTCTGAGTCTCTGAACAGGGAAACACTTCAAATAATTTCTCAATGCCAAGGACCCATGCTTCGGCTTTCAACGGATCTAATCCCCCGTGGAACTGTGGTGGTTTCATTTTCTTAAACTCCTTAGTGAGAGCTATTATCCGGTCATCATTTTGATTATCTGGCACGGGTGGTGGCGGAGGTGGAGGTGGAGGTGGAGGTGGTGGGTGCGGTTGCTGC